TCTCTAATGCCTCTTTAATCTTTCCACATAGATGTTCAAATTCAACATGCTTAATGAAATCAAACTCAGCAACTTCTCTAAACCAAGTCCTCTTCCTCATGTCTTTTTCAATTAAAGTTTCATTCATTCTCTAGGGTTTATTATTATTTTTTTTTTTTTTGAGACAGAGTCTGGCTGTGTCCCCCAGGTGGGAGTACAGTGGCATGATACCGGCTCACTGTAACCTCCACTCCCAGGTTCAAGCAATTCTTCTGCCTCAGCCTCCCTAGTAGCTGGGATTATAGGCATGACCATCATGCCTGGCTAATTTTTGTATTTGTAGTAGAGATGGGGTTTCACCATGTTGGCCAGGCTGGTCTTGAACTCCTGACCTCAGGTGATCTGCCCACCTCTGCCTCCCAAAGGGTTTATTACTTCTGATTTCCTCACACAGTATGTGTAACCTCTAAATATGTTACGCATCCAATACCAACTTTCCATTTCCACTGCTACCACCACCACTGAGAGCCTTCATTAACTCCCACCTTTTTTACCAAAAGAACTAATTGAGCCAGGCACCACTAATCAGTATTTCTAGTCCTCAGTTGTCCTCAAAGTAATGGTATTTTGCTGGCCTGAAAAGAGAGACTGAAGCTATTTATAAAGTCTCTTTGAGCAATAAGTTTCATGAGTGTTTGACTTACCTCAACTTTATTAAGAATATTTTTTAAATCAAAATGAAAAACGTGACTTGGAGAGTAAAGCCACCACCAGGATATATCCTCCCCTGGAGCCCAGCAGCCCCTGATCTCCACACCCTTGGGGCTTTGCCAACATCCAACCACATCCACTCAGTGGTAACACTGCAACACCAGATGGACCCAGGAGTGCAGCCATGACCCCGGCACCTGAGCCCACACAGAGCCCTACACCCTGGGAAACAGGCAATCTAGCACAGCAAGGAGCTGCCCCAGGACAAACAGAGCCAACACATGTGCTAGCCACCCACCTCAGGCTGCTGCCACCACCAGTAACTCCACTAGCTCCAGCAGTAGGAAGAAATTCTTCCCAACTCATTCTATGAGGCCAGCATTATCCTGATACGAAAACCGGACAAGAGCACAACCAATAAAGAAAATGACAGACCAATATTCCAGATCAATAAAGATGCAAAAATTCTAAACAAAATGCTAGCAAACCAAATCCAACAGTAGTACATCAAAAATATAACACACCACAATCAGGTGGGATTTATCCCAGAGAGGCAAGGATGATTCAAAATCACAAATAAATAAATCTGATACATCAACAGACTAAAGGACAAAAACCATAAACCATATGATCATCTCAATAGATGCAGAAAAAGCATTTGAAAAAGCACAGGCAAGAACGGGAAAAATAGATAAATGGGCGATATCAAACGAAAGGCTCTGCACAGAAAAGGAAACAATCAATAGAGTAAAGAGAAAACCTGCAGGATGGAAGAAAATATTTTCAAGTGACTCATTCAACAACAAATGGATAGAGACAAATATTCAGAATACACAAGGAACTCATACAACCCAATGGCAAAAAAAGAAAAAAAGATAAGATTTTAAAATGTGCAAAGGATCTGAATAGACATTTCTCAAAAGAAGGCATACAAATGGCCAGTAAGTAAATGCTCAACATCACTAAGCACCAGGGAAATGCAATGAAAACCACAATGAGACCTCTCTCACCCCAGTTAGAATGGCTATTGTGAAAAAGACAAAAAGTAACAGATGTTGATGAGGATGTGAATAAAAGAGAAGTCTTACACACTATTGATGGAAATGTAAATTAGAATAGCCATTATAAAAAGTGATACAGAGTTTGCTCAAAAGTTTAGAAGTGGAACTGTCATATGACTCAGCAATAAATGGATTGAATACATGTATTGAAATATCACTCTATATCCTGTGAAAATGTACTATTGTCAACTAAAAAGAAAAATTAACAAATGAAAAATCTTCCCAAACTTTTTTCTAATTCAATATAATTTATTTATTAATTTTACACACTATCTAAATGGCAACAAGAATGGATGTTTTATAGTACAAGTGAATCCAAAGGCAAGAATATCATAAGGGGATTGCAAAGGTGTAAGAGTGGTATAATTTTTAGAAAACAAGTTAAAAGATAAAAATGAATCGCCCAAGATTTTAAAATTTTCTCCCTATTTGTCCTTTGGTTACATAGTTGTAGACCGAGAACTATATGAAAAGTAAACTTTAAAAATATAAATAAGAATACTAGCCAAAGGAGAAAATCTTGAGAAGATGCTCTTTGGTAACAAAATCTGAAACACTCAATTTTCAGAACGAAAACTAATTAGTTATTATTTCAGTATCACTTTGCTTCCTGATTCTTCCTTAAAATTAGTTATTATTTCAGTATCACTTTGCTTCCTGATTCTTCCTTAAAATAGCCTATAAGATCATTAAAATAATTAATCAGTACTATCAAAAAGTACTATCAAACTTTATAAATATAATCTGATTACACTTATAAAGTTTAAAAATAAGCAACTGAATAGAACAAATTGTAAGTCCATTAAGTAATATAGCAACAATGTACTGTGCCATACATAAATCTCAGACTCAATTAGAGAGAAAAAAGTAAATGTTACGTTTTCTGCCCAACAGAGGCCCAAGCCTCTTAACCTCCTTCTATCAATACCTACTTTCCCGCATTTTCATAGCATGTTAAATGTGGAGGTACAACCTTGAAGTATTCTTGTTCTCTCATATCTAGGTTTCACCTCCCCAGTGGATTCTTAGGTCTACAACGGATGAGAACCCTGTCTTTCATGGCATACTGGTACAAAAGTGGCTCACAGCAGGCTATTAGCATTTATGGAATAAACATGCAACCACTCAGTTAAAAGGTGCTGTTATGTAAGGTTAGGAAGAATTTTTGTAGGAAGTATGATAGTCATCTATGCCTACACTTGTTATGAAAACAGAATAAAACAAGTTTAACTAACAGCATGAGAGATTTAGGCTAGTTAGTTGGAAGATTTTCTATACAGGTTGTAATATAAATAATTATAGTATAAATTTTTTTGAAATCCTGTTTAAAAAAAAGCTATACTTTTTTTAAAAATGTGGAATGACTAGTTCTGATCATTCCTCAAAGTAGAAAGAAATTAGACCAACTATAAGGATCTCCTCTTGTCCTTCAAGCTACAGAGCTTCCAGAGACCTAATTTTCTCAAATAGAATTCAGAAAAAAATGCAGCAAGATCCTTCTGGCCCAGTCATCTCATATCACGGCTTTAACCACTCAACACATGGACATGAAAGATTTCAAGATAAAAGTAGGTATGTGACCTAAAATCAAAAAGTGTCTAGGTCCCTGTTCTAGATTTGCTTCTGATTTGATATAAGACCTTAGGCAAACAATTAATCTGAATGTCTGCGTCCTCATTTACTAAATAAGAATATCCTCAAGGGGTATTATATAGTGTAACAATTTAAGAGTCAGAGCAGTACTGGAAAAAAATTTTGAGTAATTTAACCTACTAAAATGTAAACTTTTATTGATGTAGTTATTATTTAATAGAGTCCATAAAGCTTCAGATTTACTCAAAATAGCTACAGTGTAAAAGTACTGAAGAAGCTAAAGAAAAAAATTTTTAATTACATTTCAAGTTCTTCATTTTAATATATCAGAATAGAATTAGGCTGAATTTTGGTTGCTCTACCATTTACTTATTATGGGTGGCTTAGATTAGTCACTGAGCCTCCATTTCTCTCTAAAACTAGGGTGATTTTGGTGCTTATCTCATAGAATGTGTTGAAGATTAAATCAGATAACTTCAGGCACACAGTAAACTTTAAAAAACAATTAGTAGCTGTTACTGTTATTAATACTATTATCATTGTCACTGTTATCACGAACATCATTGCTTTTTTTCTTTTTTTTTTTTACAGAGTCTCACTTTGTTACCCAGGCCTGATAAACTGTAAAATATATATCATCTAAAAATATGCTCTTTAGAATGGCCAAAGGACAGTATCGTTTCAGAAAGTTTCATCTAAATAATTTACTATAATCGTTCAACAAACAAATCTTTAGATAATCAATAAATTTCGTTTCCTAAAACAACCCAATTTCTAAAAAGCTAAAGTTTTAAGCTCTCCTTAAAATAATAAACACATTTAAAAATCCACCTTCTCTTCCTATTTGCAAGTTATAAAATTCATTTTAAATATATAGTTTTAAATCCATACTCCACCAAACAAAGTCAGTTCTTTAATCATCATTTAAATATATCCTATCTCCTACTTCTACTTAGGCGGTTGTTTCAACTTCTAATCCCTTTACCCAGGTCCTCACTATTCCAACTCAAATCCCATCCCTGACTCTTACCTTCCTTGAGTTTAGAAAAGCAGGCAAATATCTTTAAAACCTTGTCAGTTGGGGGTGGTGTGTGACTTACAGCACCCTTATGTGTATCATGGGAGCAGAAATGCAAGCAATCAAAAGCTGTATGCTTAAAAAAAATCCTGAATTTTAAATTTCAATATCTGTATTAACTGTAATATTCCAGATTTACTGTTTAGTAGCCTAAATCTTCACGTAAGTTTTAAATGTATTGAAAATTTAGGGATTACCAGATCATATATTTTAGAAAACTAACCCAATATGAAATTTTAAAAATTAAACACCCTTAATCAAATAACTCTATCCAGTATTCCAAACAGCTTACAAAGAAGTTCAGTGGAAATAATCCTGTAAATTAATATCTACCCTTTCTAAAAGATAACCAAGTGGAAAAAGAAATTAGAACTTCCCTGTTACCTTTCTTACCATGTGAAAAACGCAAGTTGTTCATTTTAAAAATAAATATAAGCTTTTAATAAATATAAGCTTTTGAATACAAATATATTTTTATAATGTGGGTATTACGTGGATCACCAGGTTTGGAATAAATTGAGAGTCAAAGTCAACAAGACAGTAATATAAATCCAAATTCGTATTTCAAAAGGCACTTAGTGCTCACTTCAGCAGCACATATACTAAAATTGGAATGATACAAAGATTAGTATGACCCTTACTCAAGGATGGCACACAAATTTGTAAAGCATTCCTTTTATTTTTATTTTTATTTATTTATTTTTTTGAGACGGAGTTTCACTCATGTTACCCAGGCTGGAGTGCAATGGCGCGATCTCGGCTCATGGCAACCTCCGCCTCCTGGGTTCAGGCAATTCTCCTGCCTCAGCCTCCTGAGTAGCTGGGATTACAGGCACACACCACCATGCCCAGCTAATTTTTTGTATTTTTAGTAGAGATGGGGTTTCACCATGTTGACCAGGATGGTCTCAATAAGACACTTCTTCACAAAGAAAACACAGTAGGAGTGTTAAAAATGTTTAAAATGATGAATCAGAAGTAATCTATGAAGTGAACCCTTGGCATTATGTAAACAAAATGGGTTCCTTTAAAATTTGTTTAGGTGCTTTGTCTGCAAAGGATTACTTTTTAATTATGGGAAATCTGAATTTCTCAGACATTCCCACTAGATGACGCTAAATTTGAAGACCATCATTTAAGGTAGTGTCTGCCAAATCTCTCCATTTTAAGTGCATTTTTTTCTTTTGTAATTAATACATAACACAAGAGGCCATATGAATATCCTATTCCTCAAAAAAACTTTTCACTCATTGGTTTTTTTTACAACTACAGTCTTTTAATTATAAAGTAATAGTAGGTTCACGCTAAAGCTTCAAATTTAAAGAACTATGAAAGTCTCTTCCTTATCCTACTCCAGATTCCAACTCATACTTCTGTAACATACTTTATGTACATTCTGCTAACTGCTCCTTGTACATCCTCCTGGAAGTTTTCAATGTATAAACAAACATATATGCATTTATTGTCTTCTTTCTATCACAAATGGGATCACAGTACATACTTTGTCTTATAACTTTATTTTTTTTCACTTAATATACTCTGCACGTCTTTCCTATCAGTAGGTACAAATTCATAACATTCTTTTTAATAACTAAAGAGTATTCTACTTACCATTATTTCATTAGTCTCTTTAACTATACATCTCTCTTTTCATTCTGTTTTATACAGTTTCAAACAATGTTATGATAAACATCCTTGTACATACAACTTGTCATGTTTTATGTGAATACACTAAAGTGCTAGAAACATAACTGCTGGGTCCAAATGCATGTGTAAGTCCTTTTCTTTTGATAAATATTGCCAAACTTTCTTTTTAAATTGCATTAACTTCTGCTGCCATCAATAGCAATGCTATTTCCTCCTCTCTTCTCCCTCATCAACACTGGACATTAGCAAATTCTTTAATTTTTGTCAATCTGAGAGGTAAAAGAAAAATAACAGCTCATAGTTTTAAAAATTTTATTTATGTAAATAAGTCAAGTATCTTTTCATGAAATTATTGAATATTTGAAATATTTTCTCTATGAATTGCTTGTTTATAATCTCTATCCTTTTTCTATTAAATACTCCTAAGAACAATATTTTAAACAATGTATTTGAAAAAATATAAAACAAGTTTCATTATAACATTCATAAAACATTATGTTAGTTGGTAATTGGTACCTAAAACACTCTCCCCTCACAGAAAAATCTGTAGTTTCTGGGAGTGTATATTTACTTTCATTACCTTTAATACCCCTTTACCCAAGTGACCTATAGATTGAAAATACTTTAATATATATGCTAGAGAATTTCCTATATCAAATCTCCTTAATTTATTTTTTAAGAAATAAAATTTCTATAGGCAAGTAGTAGGAAACAATTTAAAATAATGAAATCAGTATATTGACCTTTAACTAACATCTTAGAACCATTAGTTTCATCTAGGATTTCTCATTTAGTATGAAATCAAGAAGACATTTCCAAGAACAGTGAAACCAAAAATCTAAATTAAATCTGTCTAGAGAGAACACAGTACATCTGTCTTTTACTATTATATGAGATACTATCTTTCTACTTTAAAAATCAATCTTCTATAAGTGTGGCATTATTTCTGAAGCCTCTGTTCTGTTCCATTGTTCTATTTATCTGTTTTGGTAATAAAACAGTACCATTCTGTTTTATTTACTGTAGCCTTGTAGTGTAATTTGAAGTCATAGCATGATGCTTCCAGCTTTGTTCTTTTTGCTTAGGATTGCCTTGGCAATATGGGCTCTTTTTTGGTTCCACATAAAATTTAAAGTAGTTTTTTCTAATTCTTTGATGAAAGTCAATGGTAGCTTGATGAGGATAGCACTGAATATATAAATTACTTAGGGCAGTATGGCCATTTTCCTGATATTGACTCTTCCTAACCATAAGCATGGAATGTTTTTCCATTTGTTTGTGTTCTCTCTTACTTCCCTGAACAGTGGTTAGTTCTTGTTGAGGAGGTCCTTCACATCCTTTGTAAGTTGTATTCCTAGGTATTTTATTCTCAATTTTGAAGGGGAGTCCACTCATGATTTGGCTCTCTGTCTATTATTGGTGTATAGGAATGCTTGTGATTTTTACACAATGATTTTGTATCCTGAGACTTTGCTGAAGTTGCTTATCAGCTTCAGGAGATATTGATCTGAGACAATGGGGTCTTCTGCAAACAGACAATTTGACTTCCTCTCTTCCTATTTGAATACCCTTTATTTCTTTCTCTTGCCTGATTACCCTAGCCAGAACTTCTAATACTATGTTGAATAGGAATGGTAAGAGAGGGCATCCTTGTCTTGTGCTGGTTTTCAAAGGGAATGCTTCCAGCTTTTGCCCATTCAATATGATACTGGCTATGGGTTTGTCATAAATAGTTCTTATTATTTTGAGATATGTTCCATCAACTCTCAATAAACTAGGTAGTTTATTGAGAGTTTTTAGCCAAGAAGATGTGTTGACTTTTATCAAAGGCCTTTTCTGCAAGTATTGAGATAATCATGTGGTTTGTGTCATTGGTTCTGGTTATGTGATGAATTACATTGACTGATTTGCATATGTTGAACCAGCCTTGCATCCCAGGTATGAAGCCAACTTGATTGTGATGGATGAGCTTTTTGATGTGCTGCTGGATTCAATTTGCCAGTATTTTATTAAGAATTTTGGCACATGAATTTTTATCAGGGATATTGGCCTGAAATTTTCTTTTTTTGTTGTGTCTCAAGCCAGGTTTTGATATTAGGAAGATGCTGGGCTCATAAAATGAGTTAGGGAGGAGTCCCTCTTTTTCTATTGTTTGGAACAGTTTCAGAAGGAATAGTACCAGCTCCTCTTTGTATCACTGGTGGAATTCAGCTGTGAATCCATCTGATCCTGGGCTTTTTTTTTTTGGTTGGTAGGCTATTAATTACTGTCATCTACAACCCTCTGATCTTTGACAAACCTGACAAAAACAAGCAACAGGGAAAGGATTCCCTATTTAATCAATGGTATTGGGAAAACTGGCCAGATCCATACGCAGAAAACTCAAACTGGCCCTCTTCCTTATACCTTACACAAAAAATTAACTCAAGATGGATTAAGACTTAAATGTAAGACCTAAAACCATAAAAACCCTAGAAGAAAATCTAGGCAATACCATTCAGGACATAGGCATGGGCAAAGACTTCATGACTAAAACACCAAAAGCAATGGCAACAAAAGCCAAAATTGAAAAATGATCTCTAATTAAATTAAAGAGCTTCTGCACAGCAAAAGTAACTATCATCAGAGTCAACAGACAATCTACAGAATGGGAGAAAACTTTTGCAATCTATCCATTTGACAAAGGGCTAATATCCAGAATCTACAAAGAACTTACACAAATTTACAAAAAAAAACAACAACAACAGCCAAACAACATCATCAAAAAGGGGGCAAAAGATATGAACAGACACTTCTCAAAAGAAGACATTTATGTGGCCAAAAAACATGAAAAAAAGCTCATCATCATTGGTCACTAGGGAAATGCAAATCGAAACTGTAATGAGATAACTCTCATGCCAGCTAGAATGGCAATCATTAAAAAGTCAGGAAACAACAGATGCTATAGAGGATGTGGAGAAATAGGAATGCTTTTACACTGTTGGTGGAAGCATAAATTAGTTCAACCACTTAGGAAGACAGTGTGGCAATTCCTCAAGAATCTAGAACCAGAAATATCATTTGACCTAGCAATCCCATTACTGGGTATATCCAAAGGATTATAAATCATTCTATTATAAAGACACATGCACACGTATGTTTATTGCGGCACTATTCACAATAGCAAAGACTTCGAACCAACCCAAATTCCCATCAATGACAGATTGGATAAAGAAAATGTGGCACATATACACCATAGAATACTATGCCGCCATAAAAAGGATGAGTTCATGCCCTTTGCAGGGACACAGATGAAGCTGGAAACCATCATTCTCAGCAAACTAACACGGGAACAGAAAACCAAACACTGCATCTTCTCACTCATAAGTGGGAGTGGAACAGTGAGAACACATGGACACAGGGAGGGGAACATCACACACCAGGGTCTGTCAGGGGTGGGGGACTAGGGGAGGGGTAACATTAGGAGAAATACGTAATGTAGATGATGGGTTGATGGGTGCACCAAATCACCATGGCACATGTATACCTATATAACAAATCTGCACGTTCTGCACGTGTATCTCAGAACTTAAAGTATAATTTTAAAAAAAAAAAACAATCTTGCATAGACCTGGAGTACACAGTCACGGCCTAGAGTGTAACAGAACTTGCCTGATCAATGTAAAAAGCCGTGCCTTCACGGATCTCTCGTCGCTGTTTGAGATCAGTTTCAGTGGTGTCCCTTGACAGGGCAATGTATTCGACCTCCCGTTTAGTCAGCTCCTATAGAGCAGAGAATAAAATTATTCCAGAAATAAAATCAAATTCCCAACATATGATTTGGAACAGGTTATCTGACAATGTCACTACGCTCGAGAAGAGCATTTTAAAACATAATTCTGGATTGAAACTTGTTGAGTCTCAGCTTTGAGAAAAATGAAATAAATTGAACGTTAATCAAATATCTACATATCTTCTCAGAGCTCTTCTTCTGTGGCACTCAATCCTACTATTTAAGTAATAATAATCAAAATTCAATTTTACAGACCTTAATTT